ATCTTTAAAAGAGATTGGACTTGATATTTAAGGATAAGTAAACAAGATAGGAATAAAAATGTAATTGAGGGACGTTGTTATTGGATGGTCTTACGATTTTTCTGTTTGATGCTTTTCTTCCAGAAGTAACCCACTAGACCACAGAAAAGAGAATTAGTGCTGCTTTATGTAGTGTTATTTACTCTTTCATGTTCTGTAGGACATCGTTAGAAGGATGAGAGCTAATTTGCAGCAATACATATATGTTAATAATAGGCAATATTGTGATTATAATAAAGAATGTGAATATAATAGAGAATCCTGAATGATGTACCAGAAATTAGAGACAGGAATTTGTATACAGATTTAGGCCTATACTCAGTGAAACAAACACTTTGCAGGAGAGGAATCACAAAGATGGAGTTGAGATATACTCCTCAGAACTCCTAAAAATTAGTGGTAATCCAGAAAGGGAAACAAAATCCGGAAGTCCTGAATTTTATTCTCTGTGTTATCTCAGATCTCTTAGGCCTTTGTCCTTGAAATTCCTTTTGGAAGAAACATTTTATCCTCAGTTTCATTGAAATATGATAAAACAAAAAGAAAAAAAATCTGATGTATTTATTTATTTGGTTTGTGAGACATTAAACAAATACACTTCATCTCAAAAAAAAATTATAGAGAGAGACTTATTCTGAAACTTCTGCACATTTGCAATGCACAGTGGGTGAAAAGAAATCATAAGACTGAAAATTCTGCATTTTAAAGTAGCTTCTTTTAACCTTTCTTAAAGAAGCGCAGAGATCTAAGGAAATCTTAATATGGTACATATGTTCATTCATTATTGTTTGTATAGCAGGACTTTCCCCAATGTTCAGTCTTCAGGAAGACACTTTATCTCGTGTGCAAATTTAAGTGCATTTATTTTCCACTGAATAAAGCTTAAGTAGGTGCTTAAAGGTATATATGTGTTTAAGTACTTTCTTTAAGCAGCAGGGCTGAAATGTCTAACATAAATTTGCTTTTCACAATGTTTTAAAATACATGATTCAAAGACCCAATGAAAATACAAAAAAAAAAAAAAAAAAAAAAAAAAAAAAAAAAAAAAAAAAAAAAAAAGAACAGTATATTCTAATGTTAGACCACTTCTGATCTGTATTTCCAGTAGGTGCAGATTAGAGAAGTATATCATATATGTACTGGCTTTGGTTTGTGTATTTTTTGCATTTATATTGACGGAGAGTAGAAAAAGTACAAATTACAGAAAAGTGCACTGCCTGGTATAGCAGGCAATCCAACATACCAAAGAACTTTGCAGTATTGCCCTTATTACAATGCTGTAGCTTACAAGGTTGTGACATAGAAAATTCCAAAACATAGTTAGTAAAATGGTTTACAAAGAGACAAAATTATTGTTTTGAAATTTCAAATTTGCACTTTTCTTCATGAGTGCTGCTGATTTCTCAATTTAACAATTTGACCACCTACTGAACTGTACTGTTAATACACAGTGGGGTTTGCGGATGTTTTTGGTGTGCCAAGATAGATGGTAAGAAGAAGATACAATTCAAAAACTTGGTTTTGGGGTGCATTTTATTTAAGGATGGGGGTTGGCATTGGCCAGGAAAGGCTGTCATCTGGGAGCTGCAGAGGGAAACATGAAACACAGCCTGGGGAGAAACTGGCCCCGGACAGGAACGGTCCGGCACGAACCTCGGCAGGATGGAAGGAAGGGGCAGGGACGGGGCGCGCCGCCCCGGGCCGTTAGTGCCCGTTAAACTGCGCACTCCCCCTCACACTGGGGCGCGGCCGTGCGCCCGTGACGTCACGGGATTCCAGGGCACGGCCACCA